AAATAAAATCATGGGGCGAGATTGCAGCAGTCGGCAAATTTTCTGTTGTAGGCAAGTGAAGTGATGCGAGGGTGAACGGTCTAATTGGTTTGTGCTTTCCTTTTTGGTCTGTTTTTCGGTTGCTAGGCACAACTGTCATACAGAAGACAAGCGTTATTTGTCTCGTTAGATTTCATCTAAAAAGTCTAACAAGTCCGCTCCACTCAGTTGACCTTTGTCAGGGTGGTTCGACATGATTTTCTTGCGAGGTCTGCTTCACTCAGCTGACCTTTTTCAAGACGATAACTGTCAAAACAAGTTCTGTTTATTCTTGTTTATATTTGTTTTTTGTATGAATGATTCATGAATTTATAAATTATATTTGCACTTTTTAATTGAAATTAAAATAACTGATCCAACGTGCAACTCTCGGATAATAAGTGTGACATTACTGTAATTATTGAACAATATAGTTCATGCCATATTCACGGAAAATCTACCAGTAAAAAAGAATTCACTTATTGCTATATTTGTACAAAAACGCAGAACCTTAAAATTTAAGTTCAAACTCAGCGTTGCGACTGCACGTTCCAAAACAATAACATTTCTCATAGCATTTTTTCGGATTACATCTATTTTCGTGGTCCTCTTATTACTGAGAAGTAAAATCAAGAACAAAATCTACTTCCATACCTGATGATGTCTGTAGGAACAGACGAAAGCTTGTAAAAAAAAAAAAAAAAAAAAAAAAAATAAAATTTAAAAAGACCTTATGCAACTGGAATTTATAAACGGAGATCATATCATTCATATACAGGTTCGGGGTTGATGTATCTTATATTGTTTGCGACGAAGTATTCTCGCCATATAATTCATTAACCTCTATATTTGTTTTTTGTATGAATGATTCATGAATATATATATATATATATTTTATACGAACGCTTGCTCGTACATTTACCTGTGTGTGTGTGTGTGAGAGTGAGAGTGTGTGTGTGTGTGTGTGTGTGTGTGTGTGTGTGTGTGTGTGTGTGTGAGTGAGTGAGTGAGTGAGTGAGAGAGAGTGTGTGTGTGTGTCCCAAACTAATTTCTTCACCTAAATAATGCCGACTATACAAAAGTGGCATGGAATTGACGTAGTTAAGTTAATTGAGCGTTATTGGAATCAATTTTATATCACTCGCACTCGATTGGAGGGTTTAAGTTATCTTTATGGAACAGACAGACAAACAAACATCATTTCATTTGCTTTTCTTATCTAAATCATTCATTCAAACGGCTTCAGAATGTTTTTAATCGCGTTCGGAAATCTTTAGCTCACAAATTCCCTGTTAAGGAATAAAACTTAAGATGCTATTAAAGTCAAGCGACAAACTTCTGGCACCAACATAGAAGCCAACTTCTATGACAGCAAAAACTAGTTTCAAATTTCAGATGTTTACTTTGAAACCTCAAGATTTGGAAAATCAGTTTAGCGTAACTGTTAATGTTAGTGAGGAATAGTCAAGCCGAGCTTAAATTCAGACCTCGTCATTTACTTCGCGCCAATGTACACGCCTGCTGACATAATTCGGCCGTCTTCCAAAAATGCTTGAAACGAGATTTGGTTTGACTAGGCAACACTGTATCAGTTCTTTTGCGGTTACATGCCGATCTTCTCGGGCCCTTTTGAAGTACAATAACCAAATCCGGGTTGTCAATCATGATACTCTTGTTAGTAGCAGTGTTTACAGTACAGGGCGTTGACTGATAGGCTGAGAAGCACTAACATTGAATTGCTAAACGGTTTGATGTAATATTCCCTTTCATTAGGTGGTTACCATCCTTGCTAGTTGCCGGCTCCCCCTCCCCCGGACTTTCGTCTCTTGTAGGCGGCCGCGGTATTCACGTGCAGCTGACGTGTCCGGAATTCACACCTTCTTAGTACACACTAATGTTGCCAGAGGAAACCCTAACGTATCAACCGCAGCAATCATTCTGCATTGTTAAACCCTGTCTGCGTCCCAAAATTAACTGATTATCTATTACGTCACACATACGTCATCCTGTTGAGTTAATTTCTACAAGTTATGGTGAACTGAAGAGACATTTCTTTCTTCTTTATATATGCAGTTGTATACATTTTTTAAACCATTTCACCTCAAGCAAGACAATAAAGCTACTAAGACGCAAGGGGTTACGCGGTGCTAGAGAATGAGAAAAATTCTATTAAGGAGAGAGGAGAAAAAACAACAATTAAGAGAAGATCACGACTGACATTTCATTTAAATTTTTGAAGATAAAGGTTGACAGGGAAGCAAGAAGTTCCACATGCGATAAGTGCGACGGAAGAAACTATTAGCATAGAACTTACGATTACATCCAGCCATTTCAATTGTAAAATGATGAGACCTTGTTGCCAATCTAATACTGCACTTAAATTCAAAGTCTAGGTTCCATAGAGGAAAGTTTATCAGAACAATTATGAAAGTATTTATAGAAAAGCACAGGGAAGCTACGTTGTAAGAGTGGAAAAGTGACAGAAACCGAGATGTGCAGGTCAGGTCCAATAACATTGATTCTTTGGATTTTATCAAGAATCTCTAAATATACAGCAGGATCATCTGACCAGATATGGTAGCAATATTCAAAGTCTGGACGAATGGCAGATTTATAAATGTGTAGAGTCTAGCGAGAGAAAATATCTAGCACCACACAATGAACCAACCTTCCTAGCCGGAGACTTAGCAACTGATTCAATATAATCTTTCCATATCAGACGTTGATTTAATAGAATGTGAAATATCAATTGCGTAGCGTAAATTGCTTAAACTAAATTCAAGGGATTCTGTCGGGATAACTTAAGTTCTTCCATGCCAATTTGTATGCACAGCGCTTGTCTGTAATTGGCAACATGACGCGTCAGTAAAGACTCATTTTGTAACATCCGTTAGTTTTCCTTTTCAGAATCGGAGAGAAGGCTAGTAATATTTTTTATACTTAGTATTTTTAAAAAATAAAATACTCATCTAAGTTCTTCATACTTCTCTCTAGCCGTCTTATTAACATTATTATCAATGTTTAGGTAATTATCTTTTCCGACATCAGATGCTATTCGAACATATTTGGTAACACAACATCGTGATTCAGTCACAAGTGAATCTGTACTACATAATCTTTACTACAAAATGACGTTTGAATCGCTGACCAAAGGAAAAATCTGGTCTGTTAGCCTGTCGTGGCAAAACACAAGTAGCAGCGAAGATGTCCCTAGTGTCACTTACTTACCCCTAAAACAGTTGCAGGTGAACTGATCCATGAATATCTTTCTTTTATGTGCCGTGTTCCTTCAGGAAGTAGGCGATCATGGCCCTTCACATTTTCCTGTCCCTTGTAGTTCTTAATTTTTGTCTTTGTTATATCTCCTAAATCCTGTTCTGCCATCCATTTACTCAAGCCCATCAAGTATTTTACGCGCCGCTTTCCTCTGTCCTTCAATATATCACGTGGGTATCAGATATTCCAAGCCCCGCCTTCCTCGTTACCCGCCCCAAGAATTTCAACTGCCTCTTCCTGATGTTAAGTATGAGTTTCCTTTTTGTTTCCATTCTCTCCAAAACCTGGTCGTTGTTCATATGTTCGGATCATGGTCTCCTCAGCATCATTCTGTAGAACCATATTTCTGTTGTTTCAAGTCTCTTCCTTATCTTTGAGAAGATTGTCCAGCATTTGCTGCCATACAGGAAGAGAGATATCACGTAACAGTTCAGTACACTTTTCTTTGTTCCCAAAGAAAACTTTCTGTCTCTCAATACTCTGCTTAGCATTTGGAATGCATCCGCGGCTATCCCAATACGTCTTCAGATCTCAGTGTCGCACTTTCCTTCCTCTGTTTGCCGGAATTGACTGACTTTTTTTTTTTATTTTAACCAAGGTGATATCTCGAGACTGCCGTATTCAAGACTTTTTTCTCCCGTGTGTTCTCAACTTCTTTTGATGAACATATAACGAGTCTTTACCCGTTTTGTTCACAGCAATGCAAACGGTAACCGAACTACGGCTTGGGGCAGCCGGTGAGTGATTGTTTGAGGGACTTCGATGTATGTTCACATTTTAAGCCTGTAACAGAAATCAGTGCTCAAACTCAAGTGGAAAAAAAAAATACTTCGTGTTTTTCAAAGTAGCCAGCCAGCCTTTTCCTCTGTAAAGAATATTGGCACGATATTTGGTTTTATGCCAAGTTACATTTTTAGAATATCTATAACTTAAGTCTGAATAACCTAAGTTGTCTGAATTCCTTGGGTTATTTATTTTTACTATTTAAATATCACTAGTTCACGTCACTGTAGAGTGAATAAATCAAAAGTTAGAATCATTCGAGCTAGATACATTTCAAGTTAAAGAGGTGCCAATGCAGTATCAGATATATGTGAAACGAGTTAGTTTCTCTCTGCACTTAGTGTCTGACCAAAAAATTTTAACCGAAAATAATATACTCCTTCAAATGGCTTGTCAAATAAAAAGAAATTAGTACAATTAAAGACACTGAAAACATCAATTATGATGTCACTTTCATTTAATAACATTTTCTCCATTTTTTACTGCTTTTGCCACATAATATGAAAAAAATTTCACTAAATTTGATATTTCTTTAACATGATTCGAAAATTGTTACAAGAACCACGACTTCCTCCACCAAAGTGCGGTAAAGCGTCCTGGTTATGACGATGAACTACATCCGGCAGCAAGACCTCTGATCCAGAGGTTTTGAGAAGTGTGGAGCCGCATCTTAATTGCTGTTGTTTCTGCCTCGGGGTGGTTATAAAAATACATTTTCATAGTAAAAATACCAGCATTACATACGTGTATATTATATATATAAAACCAACAATGCATTTTTGTAAAAGAAATTACTAATGCTAAAAAAAGAAAAAAATAAATTTCGGCATTAAATGACAGATAAGGAGTTGATATGCCGTTAAACAAAGCGCGGCAAACGCTAAGATGAAACCGAGAATAACCGAATAAAAGAATGAGAAAACGAGGAATAGATGAAAGATTTGTTTTTAGAGTCTGCAGGCGAGGACGAATGAGAACTACTTATAAAAAGAAAAACAAACCTGCATTTACTTGCAACATCATTCTGACGGTTTACTTAACTGTTCTGTGGATTTTGCAGTAAAACAAAACGTCTAGCGTGGGTTGAAGTAATTTTTTGAGCTGTGCCATTAATAGATATTTTGATAGTCGAGATAGATTTGCCAAACGCAATGTTTTTCTAACCCTGTGTCTTATCCTTCCGTAATTTCTCTTAAAAAGAGAAAGTAAAAGATATGTATCCCCCTTTGCTATTAAAAAGAAAAAAAAAATTGAAAAAAAAAAAAAAAGAAAAATACCTCTGCTACTTTCCAAATGTAAGTAGTTAATTTTACATTGCTGACTGACGGGCCATAGCGTAATATAAAATAGCTCCTCAATCGATAACTAGCTTATTGTAATATGTCGTAAAGCAGTCACGGCACCAAATGAAATATAGTCGATTTGACAGAAATGGTCCATAACGTTTTATGCTGGGTTTAAAATGCAGACAAGAAAGCTTTTTTTTTTTTTTTTTATAAATCATTTTGTTCTGAGTAAGGCAATAAAGCCACTAAGACGCAACGGATTACTGAGTGTTAGAGAATGAGAAAAATATACCATTAAGAAAGAGAAGACAGTAAAAGAACAACAATTAAAACAAGATAACGATTGACATTGCATTTAAATTTTTGAAGATCAAAACTAAGTATATAACTTATGGTTACATCTCGCCATTTTAACTGTAAAACTGCGCTTAAATTCCTAAAATATAGGTACCACAGAGGAAATTTCAAAGATTAATTGGTTAGTTCTTTCCTTTATTGTTATATGTTAATTATTACGCATTCTTGAGAAAGGTAGCTGAAAGGTTTCTCGTTACTTTCTCTACATCTTTGAATTCTGGAGTAGTGACAGCACACAAGGCTAAACTATTACTGCTATTGAATCCATAGTTGGGGAACAAGACAAGAAATAGTTCCATGCCTTTTCCAAGAGCATTTGTGCTAAGCGAACGCCAGAGTCTTGACTTAAGATTCTACTTTGCGCGCCAATAACAGCTAGCCGCACACCCTGGATAGTGACGGGGGTGCTGGATTGTTGAAGAGTCAGTTTAGCCCGTGAAAATCCACTAGAGATTAGTGGTATGAAATGCATACAATTTAAAAAGAGAACCTGAAGCCATTAACAGCAGACTATAAAAAATGTATAAAAATTAAGAAAGGCTGTAAGCTAAGATGAAACAAAATAATAGACACGACTGAGTAGGAACGGTGGTCCACTAGGAACTGCGCAAACGACAAGGATTTGACAAGACAAATCAATAGATTATACACAACGGAACATATCTTAGAGAATAGGGAAAGCAAACATTTCATGTATTTTTTTCTTTTTGTAATCAGTTCACGTGTTTTGTGATGTAATGGATATAGGCCCAGAATGAGAAATCGTAGAACAGAGTTCGAATTGCGGTCGGATTCGTTATATTCACTTATGTGCATATACTCTTGGGAAATGCATGAATCCATCTCTTCCGGCTATGGGTTAAATAGCAGGATAGACTGGGTTCTATAGCCCTGGTTGGTCTACTGCAGAAAGAAACGGCAACCTACCGCGGGGAATCTTCTGTTTAGTCAGTCATTAATCGAAAGAGAAATGATCACCTAAGCGTATCTCACTGTCTTTTTTTGGGTGAAAATATTCTGTCAAAGGCCACTAGGAAGCAAAGGGTTACTGAGTGAAAGAAACAGAACAATAAAAGAATTTAAGAGCGAATAGACTTGCTGTCATTTGATCAAGTGAAAACCACCAGGAGTTATTAGTTTGAAAATCCAAGAATTGAAATAATAATAATAAAGTACAAATTAAACATTAACGGAAAATAAACAAATATTGACAGCTGCATTGATCACACCCATTCAAGCATCTAACAACGAACCACTGAATAAAAAAAGGAAAAAATAAAATTGGAAAACTGTCAAGTCCTAGCTCAGAAAATGGAAAAGTTGAGGAATGTAATAGTTATGGTTATGCTCGTAACAATTAACTCGCCTGGAGTAATGCCAAAAAACACACACAAACAAAAACAAAGCAACCCCCCCAAAAAAAAACAAAAATTAAAAAAAAAAAAGACAAAAACAAACAAAAGCAAAAAACAAAAGCAAAAAAAACGCAAACAAAAAAGAAAAAAAACACAAAAACAAAAAAACGCAAAAAAAAAACAAAAAAAAACAAACAAAAAGCAAAAAAAACCCAAAAAAAAAACAAAACAAACAAACAAAAGCAAACAAAAGCAAAAAAAAAACAACAAACAAACAAAAGCAAAAAAAAAACAACAAACAAACAAAAGCAAAAAAAAACAACAAACAAACAAAAGCAAAAAAAAAAACAACAAACAAACAAAAGCAAAAAAAAAAAAACAAACAAACAAAAAAAAAAAAAAACAACAAACAAAACAAAGCAAAA